ACATTTACAGGCTAAGCTCTCTTTTTACTACTAAACACAGTGTGCCATCTGCAATAATGCATTTCCCTTTTGTGTGTTCATGGGTTGTGTGATGATTGATAATTTTGTATGAATTTACTGTTCTTTAAACATCATTGCATATAATACTGTGGAAGAGATGGTTATTTGAGTGTAGGATGATTATCCCCCTAATACTGTGGAAGAGATGATCATTGCATATAATATGGCAGTAATACTGTGCAAATTTCCTCCATCAATTGTCCCACTAAAAAAATGAATATTGTTATTAATCAAATATCATAAAAACAGTCATATATTATTGCATAAAGAGGCAAATATTAAAAAGTGAAATTATAACGAGACTGTAGCATCATTCTTAAACTTGGTGTGTAGGTTTTTTTGTAAAAATCATGTAGTGCACTTGTAATTTTTGTTTTATTTTGTGGGTGCAGCTAAGAAATCAAAGGCCACCCATTCAGATGCTGGGCCTTCTGGGATTTCTGATGAGGATAGTGACTTTGTGTCGCCGCCTCGCGCATTCCTTTCTAGGTTGCAACAAGAACCTCTGTGGGATGCCCCCGAGTATGAACTCACTGCGGAGGAGGATGCTATGTATCCTCGGGCAAGGATGAGGGCGCAGTCTGTAATTTTGGTAAATGCATTAAAGGATTTAAGTAGTCTTCAGAAGGATGACATTCGGGATCTTGGCTTTGGGGCTTTGCTGGATTTTAATGTTGCAGAGGTTCCACCGCGCCTTTTGCGGTGGTTGCTATATAATTTTGATCCCCAGGCAAGGGCGTTTGATCTCGGTGGTGGATGAGGGGGATGTGGAGTTAGTATTGGGTTTTCCGCGCGGGCCTGTTGATATGGTTAGACGGGATAGGCTCAAGATTAGCAACACACTGAAAAAATGGAGGGGTTTCTTTAAAAAGGGTAGGCACATGGTCACTGCTTCGGAGATTAGTGCGTTGATGGTTGAAAAAGTAAATGGTGGCCTTTGGTTTAAGCGCCATTTTCTGGTTTTGGTCTTGACCACATTAGTTTCTTGTATGTGTAATGGATATGCCAATCAGATGTATTTTCACCACTTTGAGGATTTGTCATCCGTACGCGACTTGAATTGGTGCAAGCTTGTGGTTGACATGCTGGTTGAGACACAGGTTGTTTGGCGTGATGGTCGACATAAGTTTTTTATTGGTCCTGCCGAGTTCATTACGGTATACCTGTTATTTGTTACTCGTTGTGTGGGTTATTTGTTTTAGTTTTCTGGTTTTTATCTAAGAAATTGTAGTCTGATTTTATGCCGTTTCTTTTTTAGTTATTATATGTGGATCGGGTTATGCATGTTGCTAGGGAAGTTCCCGTTGTATTCCTGCTTTTCTTGGTTGGTCATCACCACTACTCCTTCGACGGGAGTTCTCAGAGATTCGGGGCGGTGGGTTTGGGTTGGGTGTTATCGAGCCCCCGGTACGGGTGTCTCAGGAGGAGGATGTTGGTGGGAATGCGCCGGAGCCTAATGATGATGGTGGTGAACATCATTGTTCATCGCCCCTTCTTGAATATGGTCCCAAGGTAAATTTCTTTTTGTTTCTGCTGGTTTTTTCTGTTTGTGCTGTTTGATGTGCACACATATTGTACCTAGCGTGCTCTCACTCTTTGTTCTATGGTATTTAATACTGCCTCTTTTGTGGTGTTAATAGTCATTTGAAGACGTTGTTTTGGAAAATGCCCGGGATTTGTCGAGGTCAGTTTCGTGTCTGCACCAGTTGGTGAAGCAAGGACCGGAGGGTGCTTTCAATGGACAGGTGCTTCTAGAGGTCTTTGAGGCCGTAAAGTTTCTTGTTGGGATGAGGCCGACCCCTTCGTCCTCTTCTACTCGCGATGGTGGGGTGCCTGGTGAGCCGATATTTTCCCAACTTGATGATGATTTTTGGTCCGTTCCTGGTCGTTTGCTAGTGGTAGACGAGATTGTTCGTGCCGTTCAACAACGCTCTGAATTAAACGATATGCCGTCATTTAGTCTTGGAATTTCACAAGATTACCCTGATCATGGGTGGCCTGATATTGAGAATGTGGTGCGAGATATGAGTCCAGTTGACAACTGCCGGCCTTTGTTTGAGGTGGAGGTCAGTTTTGTTGATTACTTTGCTTTTTATAAGTCAATCTTCGTACCCCGTGCACCCACCATGTGTTGTTTGTGTGGTCCAGATTTGTTTTTTTTTTTATTATTATTGAGGGGTTTGATATGTGGTTACATTGATGGTTCTGTTTGACTTGTTTGCTTGGAAGTTGTTTTGCAATTCTGTGTCTAGTCTCCATGATGGGTTCCATTGAGGATGGTTTTATTTTGTGTTTCCTAGGGTGTTTCTCATGATGTTACTGGTGCTAATACCAATGTTTTGGATTGCCATGTTGGTGGTCCTGTTTGTGGTGTTGTCCTTGGAGATTCGGAGGAGCCCCTATGTGGAGATGTCCTATATGCTACACCGTGCGAGGTGGGTTTAGTTCGTGTTTTGTACGGTGATTTGTTTTTCGTGCACCCGGTGTGACTGTTATGTGCACCCGGTGTTACTGTTATGTGCACCCGTGTGTTTAATTCACACACGTGTTCACAGTAGGAGTGCACCTTGTTCACGGTAGGAGTGCACCGTGTGCACTGTGGTGGGGCGGTGTGTGCACATCCACTGTGTTACATTTTGTAACTGGATTTATTTGCATAGACCGATTCTTGCGTATGTTTTTGCAGCTACCTATACCTGTGGGGAAGTCCACTACTTGTCCGTCTGAAGGTCCTATTTGTGCTGCCCCGTTGAAACCTTCTGCGCGAGTTGTTCGACAGCCAATAGATTTTCCATGCGGGTGTCGCGGTTGGATGTGGATGCGAGAGAAGCTGAACCGACTCTGGTGTTACCCATCATGGACACTCCTGAAGAGGCTGTAATTTGCAAGTGGTTGTTGGGTGCCGCTGATGGGAACTTGTGAGTTTCGTTGGCTTTTATTTCACTCCTTGTTAGGTCGTTATGGTTTGTTCATTTGTCTGCATTTTGTCACTTATTTGTTTTAGGGAGGATATATTGTTTGATGTTAGTGGTAGGTCTGCGCGGTGGGCAGACTTGTTGTCGTTGGTTCCTGGGTCGTTGGTTTCTGTTGCTGTTGTAGATGCGTGGGCTTGCCTATTAAATAAACGAGAGCGGTTTAAGGACTCAGCTGCGCCTTCCCGCTTTTTTGTATCCACACTCGCCACGGTTAGTCTTTACGCCTTTACATTTTATTGTTTTGTGTAATCGCTTTGTTGCTTTTTTAAATTCAATTACTTTGTGTGTGCAGCTTAATACTGTTGTGGATACCTCTGACGATCGGGACAAACGTATTGCTTGGTTTGCGGAGAGACTGATGTTGGACTTTAAGATGACACCCTACGATGACATTACTAAAGTTGACTTGGTATGTAGGTTATGCTCTTGTTTTCCTATCATCTTGTGCTGCAGTTTAATTATGTGCACATGTTTAGTCTCTTTTGTGCACACGTGTTAACCTGTGTGTGTGGCTGATGTTTTATGATTTGTTATACTTACGTTTAGTGTTTCATATGGGTGTACCGTTACTTATGGGGTTATGATTTTTTTGTTTCTTGTAGTTTATGTTCCCCATTTTACGACATGATCATTACTTCCTTCTATGCATGGATTTTCGGAAATTTCGGTATGAGATCATTGATAATTCCACCCTACAGTCTAAGAAGAATCTCAAATATGGTGACTGTCCTGATGATTTGGTATGTTTTCACTTTTACCAACTATTGTGTTTTTCCTTTTGTTTTTTTTTGGTATGTTATCACTTTTACCGATTATAGTGGGTTTTCCCCTTTGTTTTGTTGGTTTGTGTTATAGATGGACATGTTGTCCGAATTCTTTAAAACTATGTCTCCTATGAGGTCTGTGATGTGTGGTCGGGTAGAATCGAAGCGTATGCAGATGGGGTGGCGTGATGGCCAGAATAAGGTTGACTGTGGGGTGTTTCTGATGCGCCACATGGAGACTTACTTTGGGCAGGGTGTGTCGGGTTGGAGATGTGGGCTTTCCAAAGGTGACACTTCAATGCTCCAGAAGTTGAGGTTACAGTACATCAAGGAGATTGCAACTTCTGATTTCAACTTGCACAAGGGTAGGAACCTATCTCGGGCGTATCAGTTTGCGGCATCTACCCCGAGTTGTTCATAGGCATCCTTCATGTGTTTGGTTTTCTAAGCTTCTTTTTTTTTTTTTTTTTTGTTTGTTTTTGTGGTAGCTATACTCGGTGTACCCTTGACTTGTGGGATCTTTAAATAGCTTCCATTTTTTGGTTTTATTAGTCAGTTAGCCCCACTGTATGTTGGTTAGTACTGTGATCCAAACTAAGTGGCACTATTTTCAGTTTTGTCTCTAGATGTAGCAGGTGATGGGTGCATGTACGTGTTCTTATGTGTGCACGGGTACTATAATATATATTCTTATTCGGGTAGGTATGTACGTGTTAGTGTTCACAGTAGTGAAATATTTTGTTTCTCTCTTCATCTTTGGGTTCCTATATAATGATTTTGTTTCTATCTTCATCTTGTGATTTTATTACGGCATAAACATTTACTACCGAACTAAGAATAAGAACCAAGGGATTGCAGAAATTGGGGAAAAAATAAAAATCCATGTGCACACAGTTGTTCATATGTATGCATGCATATCTAAATACCATTGCGTAATTTCCAAAATCATGGTTTCCAGTAATTTCATGTAGGCGTATGTGATTATTGATTGATATTAATAATAATACTACTACTTACAATAATACCTAGTCATAATAATATTTGTAAAACTAATTTTAAGATCTTTAATAACAGTAATAATTTTCTTAGAGATAAAAAAATAACAGTAATAATAATGGGTGTGTGTCATGCACACACATATAAGTATGCATGGTAAAATAAATTTGTCTTTCATTCTATTCAACTACATGCGTGTCTATTTCTATGGGAGTTCTTTGTTTTCAACGCAATTTCTGCTGTCGTGCCCTGGCTTGTCGCAGGTAGCGCACTTCCTCACTTTTTTCTTGTTTTTCTCACATGCTTTTTCTTTGTTGCTCTTCAATCTTTTTCCACTACCTTTGTTCTTTGCTACACTGGGTGTCTTGATTTGTATTTCACTAGGTGCGGTAGCATTGACTATTGATTCTATTACTGATTGGGGGGTGGCACTGGGATTGCAATGTTGGGTGGCACTTTGTAATGTTGCTTTTAGCTGTTGCAATGTTGTCAACATTGCCTCCATTTGGTCTGGCCATCCATTAGCTAAACCCATGCAATTGTAAAATTCATTCCAAAGTTTGTTGGCAACGGTTCTTCTTTCATTTCCCCCATGCGTATTACTTGTTGCCTTCCACACTATATCGTACATTGGTTGTGCATCCGCATCTCTTGTCCAGCGAGGAACAATATACCTCCCCGGTATTTCTTGTACATCTTCGTCCTTGAAAACGGCCAACACATGCCTACACAGGATTCCTACTCTATTGAATTTATTGCAGCTGCATTCGGTAATTTGAGTTGTTTCTTGGTACGTTACCTCAAATAGCTTTTTACCTGTTTCTTGCACAATGTACTTCCGGGCACCATCGTCCATGGTCTTGTTGGTGATTTTACAATTGAAACTTCCTTCCCATAACTCTGGTTGGAACTCGTAGAAGATTTCTATGGTGTATACTACAGCAGCTTGGCGTTCTATGGCCATAGGGGTCTTTGTTTCAGGGAATGAACCTTCACACCTCGCGTTCAACTTGTTTTGGTTATGCCTTTGTTCTTCTATGGCCCTGTTGTATTGCATGAGGAACTCTACCAGACTGTTGTGGTGTTTAGTGAATTTTCCAAAATAACTATTTTCTGATTCTGAACGAGATGTTGTTTTGAGTAGTCCTCCCATGAATATGTCTTGGAAATAAGCGGGTATCCATGTTTCCTTCGCCTCGTATAGTTGACTGAACCATCTGTGGTCGACAAGGTTGTAATCTGTCATTACTGTTGCCCATCTCCTCTCAAATTCTGGGGCCCTTATTGTTTCATCCCATACTGTATTGTTGATTGCCTTTTTAAAATCACTATTGTTTGCCAATGCAGTTCCCACCTTGTCTCCTAGTTTTGACATTATGTGCCACATGCAGAATCGGTGTTTTGTTTCTGGCATAATGTTTGGTACTGCCACCTTTAAAGCAGGGTCTTGATCCGTTATACAACATCTTGGAGTATGTCTCATTGCGGTTTTAAAGCTTTTCAGTAGCCACGTGTATGATTGCACATCTTCTCTCGCAATGAGGCTTGCTCCAAAGGTAATGCATCTTTTGTGGTTATCTACTCCCGTGAAGGGTACGAAGACGAGCTTGTATCTGCAATGTTAATGAAAAAGCTCTAGAATTAGTTCATGCACACATTAATATTCGGTCATGCACTCACAGCGTTCTGTCTAATATTCGGTTATGCACTCACACTGTAATAAATATACATGCACACACAACGCTCAGCCTTGGATAAGAATTCCCCCCCCCCCCCCCCCCCCCCCTCTAAATTGGATCACCAGTGTTAAAACATATAACCAGATACTATTTAATTTATAAATTAGTTGCAGTTAATGCATGAAATTGGTGGGTGTACAATTTCTTTGCTACCCATGTAGTTGATCATAATGTGCTCTCATTCTGTGATTTTAAACATTTTTATGTGCATGAACTCAACTATTTTAGTAACTTACTGAAAGTCAACATGTTAAATGTGTGTAATGTGTACCTGTTTGTTCTGTATGTTGCATCGAATGACATCACATCCCCGAAGCATGCGAAATTCTTCCGAGATACCGCATCCGTCCAAAACAACCTACACAGTTGCCTCTCTTCATTAAGGTCAAAATCAAAATAGAAATCCGGGTTCGCCTCCTTGTTTTTGAACATGTCTTCTATGACCATTTGTGCATCCGCCCCCGCGATATATGCTAGCAAGTCACGTCTAAAATTGCAGAAATCAACGCATGTTGCCCCTATATCGGTAAAACTGCCCACCATTTCTTTGTATAACCTCCAAGACTTTGTTGAACCAATATTTGCCCTAGCGCAGTTTGCTATGAAGATTTTGTGTCCAATGTCGAGCTTTCTATTTATTTTCAAGAATGGTCTTGCGATGTCTGAACGTAGGCAGTGTGTGTGTTGAAGCTCTATGGCATGGACTTTGTAACCTTTGGTTTTGCCCTTGGTTATCACGATCTTGGCTTTACATCCGACTCTGTTAGACACCCGTCGTCTTTTTTTAACTCCTGTGCTGCTTCCCATGTCGGTGCTTGCGGTTTTATCCTTTGTGTTGGGATTGAATCCTTCGCGGGAACATACAATGTGTTTTATTGTCACTTTCCCTTCCCTGTTCTTTCTCAACGTGGTGTGTCTGATATCAAACCCGGCAATGGTTGCGTATGCATGGTAGAATTCTATTCCTTCTTCTACTGTTTGAAATTGTTGGCTGACATAGGGTGTGCTTTCATCTGGACAAATAGGGAACCACCGTTTTGTTCCCTTTGGTAATACAACCATGTCACACTCTGTTAGTCCTTCTACGTTATGGTCTTCAGCTATACAAACAAAAGGGTTATTGCGTTAACGATATTTGTTCCGTAAGTCACTGATGCTTCAGATAGTATTACAGAAAATGTAATCAGAAACAAATGAAAATAATGCACACATTCCCTTCCAAATATCCCCACGTGACAGGTCGGCAAGGGTGTGTACAGTCACCCTACTGTGTGTGCACAGGTGGAGCTACGGGGGTGCATGTAGCGTTAATGAAATCTAAATTGCATGAAGCGTAATTAAATCTAAATCAAATTTCCTTAGCCTTAATTGCATCTAACTTGCATAGCCTTAGCACAGTTTGGTGTCAGATGATGAATGGCAGAGGTCCATTACCAGATGTTTAAACAAGTAATTGTTGTTACTAGAATGTACATATACATTGCTGGGTGCACAGACGCCGCAAACCGTGTGCACAATCTCTTCAGAACTTTCTCCTACGGTTCTGATTTATGCGGATTTGTGTTAACCCGATTCACAATATTCGACTCTCAGTAATTCGCATTCCTTTTGCCCCCGAAAAACAGTTATGAACATACAAATCACAAAAAGGGGATGCGGCAATATTGGTTACATACAAGTCAACAAAATTAAAAACTTACAATACTTACGTACCTGGGTTTTCACCTTCAATGTAGTCTGGGTTTTGGTCGCAATTTCTTGGGTGTGTCTCGTCCATGGTGTCTGGGATTGCTGCGGATAATTGCACGACCGGAGGACTTTCGATCGGATGATTGCACGGCCGGGAACTTTCGAACACTGGAGATGCGTTACTAATGTGTATTCTATTAGTACTATACTTGCTCTCCTAATTTCTTGCATTATATGCCGATCATATCTCTTTTCCTTAATTACATTGTATACGGTTTCCCATTATTGCCCTTGTATTCACTAATTCAGAATCTTCAATTAATTAGTCTCATTGCATCTTATCCATCCATCTAAACACATCCTAAGGCTATATTTTGTCCTCAAGTTTGTATTTTAAGGGGGTTTGCATGTGAATGCTTCCCTATATATATATATATATATATATATATATATATATATATATATATATATATATATATATATATATATATATATATATATTTGGATCTAGTGATACCACTCTAAATAGGTGAGATCGTGAGATTCAATCCTAAGCATCAATTATGTTATTTTAACGGTTCAAATTATAGGTTTTTTTAATTATCACGCGTTGATCTTTTTAATGCTTAGGGGTCTTTGCTTAATTTTGCAATGCTATTAAATTGTTACCATATAGACATTGAGATTTCCTTCTACAATGTGTACACTGCGTATCTAGTTTCCCAGCTTCATCGCCTACCAGTGTCGTGCCGTTACCCCTGTCCTCTCACCTTCTGGATTCTCGCCGTTTCTCCTACCAGATTCTTCTTCTCGTCGTTCTCCTACCGGATTCTCTATGACCGGTTCTTCCATCCGAGTCTCCTAACTGGGGTCTTTTTTGTTTCTACCGAGTGCGACGCCAGTGATCCTTTTTTTATTTGTTTTTTTAATGTATATAATTTTTTTTTCTGGATGGAGGTGGCGTTCACATCGCTGGCTTCTTCGCATCATCAGCTTCTTACGCCAACCATAAGATCAATCATCGGACCATCGCCACCGGAGCGTAGGGGGCTGGGGTCCATGGTATTAAGGTGTGTTGTCGTAGGTTTGGTTGGTCAATTCTTTTTTAATTTATGCTTTAACAAATCTTCTTAGGTATCTAGTCAGGGACGAGCTAGTGGAACTGGACCAGGGAGGATCTTGGTGATGAGCCAGTCCCAAGTAGAGACTCATAGCCTCGAGTTAGGTACCTATCTAATTGGATTAAGTGCTCTTATAATCTTGCTTAGCTTCTTGTTTTGGAATAAGAATAAACATGTGAAGTGACCCTAGCTTGACTAAAGCTTTAAGAACTAGAATCCGCTATAAAAGAAATAATGGAAGAACAATTAACAATTTTGGAAATAAGTAAATAAGAACTTCTAATCGGGATTAGGAATGGAAAGGCGTGTCTACTGAGTGAGACCACATGAGAAAGATTTATGACTTAGTTGGAATTTAAGTGTGGACGGCAACGGGAAATTTTTTTAAGTTTTGTAATGGATTGCCCGAAAGATCAAAAATTTTGAGGCTAAGAAGAAATGAGGAAATATTTAAGTTAAGTGGCGAGGGACCAATGAAAGGAAATCGCGGAACATCGCGACTCCTTTTTGGGAGGTAGTAGAAAACGCGTTAGGACCGGGAACCGTTTCAGTTTTCGCTCGCGATAAGGTTTGAGCTACGGACCTGAACGCGAAGTCACGCCCAAGCCCGTGCCCGAAGAAATAACGGAATGAAGTAGCGGAGCGCATCTGGGGCCGCCAGTGTGGCGGATCCACCCGACAGATCATGCCAAGCTCCGCCCGAGAGAAATAGAGGTAGCGGATCTACCCGGTGGACCTCCTCTAGGTCCGTGACCTAGCACCTTTGGGGGCATTTTTTATTACCCCTCCCCCCCCCCCCCCCCCCCCCTTACCCAATTAAAATACCCAAAAACCCTATTCTTCTTCTTCTTCCCCTCGGCAGCACGCTATTTTCCCCCCCAAACTCACTCCCTATCATCTTTTCATTCTTTCTTCTCCTTGAACACAAAATTCCATCCACCCACTTCAAGAAACCCAAAGAAAATTCCTTTTTACACTTCTACTCACCCCTAGAAGTCTACCAAGCTTAAGGATTTTATCATTAATGGCAAAGGGAAAGCAACCCATGGAAGAGGGAAACAATGAGAAATCAAGCTACTCGGTGATTGGAGGTAAAAATTTCTTCCCGGAATACTTTTCCGATGAATTGAACTTTATGCTACAACATCAAGGATTCTTGAACAAATTTCTAAGGGTGAAAGAAAATGTGTACCCGGACTTAGTTAAAGAATTTTATAAGAATTTGGGCACTAAAGTGAAGAAAGGAGTTACCAATCTTAACTCCAATGCGAGAGGAGTCAAGGTAGAATTAACTCCCCAAAAGTTGGCTAATTGGTTTGTTTTACCTATGGAGGGTGTGGATACCTATTGATGGAATAGTCACGGAGCAGGTTCGGAGCGGAGTGATACGGAGCGGTTCGGACCCGACATCCACGGACTACCCGTGACGCGTGGCGAACCGCCCCGGGGTCGGCCAACCACCCCGGGGTCGGCCCGGCGTGGGGTCGGCTCGCCGTCCAGCCGACCTCCACGAGCTCGGCCTCGACCTCATGGGCTCGGCCACGTGGGCTCGGCCGAGCCCATGGTCGACCCCTTGGCCGAGCTCTGTGCTCAGCCAAGGACCGGGTCCTCGCGTGGAGCGAGTCTCGCGGTCACCGTGTACACAACTGCCACGTCCGGCCGACCGATATGGCTGTCCTCAGGTCGACCGACCTCTAAGTTGGCCGTCGCGGTCACCGTGTACGCAACCACCACGTCCGGCCGACCCGGTATGGCCGTCCTCGCGTCGGCCGACCCTGCGTTGGCCGGCCCTGAGGAGGCTGGCCCCGCGGTGCCCGAGTACCTGATCTCGCATGTGCCCGTGCTCTTCCACAACTCAGGGTAGGATAATTGCTCAACAAAATTCATTATTCCATTACGAACGAAAGCAAAACATTATTGTGGAGAGCCAGCCTGTTATTGGGGAGGGGGTAGGCCGTACAAATGTGCTTCTACTGGTAAAATTTCAGCAAGTGCTCCGAGTTCCACACCCTGTCCACCGTCTTTCCCAATGGGGTCCTCAACTTGTAGCTGCCCTGGCGTACTATGGCTTCGACCACATATGGTCCTTCCCACTTCTTGGCCAACTAGCCTCCGTCTTGGGGTCGGCTTGCCTCCCTCCTCCAGAGGACGTAATCGCCGACCTGAAAATAGCGGGGCCGGACTATGTTGTCGTGGTAGGCCTTAGTCTGGCGCTGGTAATTTTCCGCACAGACCATGGCGTCTTCCCTTCTGTCGTCAATGAGATGGAGGTCGGCGGCGTAGTGTTCCTCATTAAGGTCGGGGTTGTACACCGTGACCCGATAGGATGGTATCGCGGCTTCGGTGGGGGCCCGTGCTTCGAACCCGTATGCCAGAGCAAACGGTGTCTCCTCAGTGGCTCTTCTTGGGGTGGTGCGGTATGCCCATAGGATGGTGTCCAACTCTTCCACCCATGTACCTCCGACCGCGTCCAGGTTCTTCTTGATGCCGTGCACTATAGTTCTATTGGCGTTCTCCACCTGTCCGTTTGCCTGCGGGTATGCCACCGCCACGCGGGTGTGTTTTATGTACCATTGGTCGCAAAACTCCTTGAATTCTTTGCTCTCAAATTGCCGCCCGTTGTCGGAGATGATTTGCATGGGGACCCCAAAGCGGTACAAAATGTTCCTTTGTACGAACTCCGTGCACTGGGTGCTTGTGATGGTGGCGAGGGGTTCCGCTTCGACCCACTTT